AAAGTATTTAGTGATATATATTATATATCACTACCAAAACTTCCTTATATTTTTAACTTCTTCCCAAAATTTGTATTGTTTATCATTCATGTCTTAAAGATTGTTTCGTTAGGATAATGCACCATATCTCTCTACATACATCCAGGGCCGGTGCTAGGAATTGCGGGTCACAATTAGAAAACTGATCGTGGGGCCCCTATTCCACATAGTAAAATTTATGGATGCTTATATTTCACATAAAACGCATACAGATCATCAAAAAACGTTAAAACATTAAATACTTGGTAGAGTAAATACATCATCAATAATTATTATGAGAAAGAATATCTTATTCTTCATTTCACGTTTTCAGTAGTATTTTGTACGTATGATAAAAAAGGGGCGCGGGGCCCAATTTGATTGAATCGGCTTAAAACCGGCCCTGCATACATCAACAGACATCGCAACACGGAAACAGGTTATCGGTCACCCTGGGCATTGGATAGTTCTTTATCATTACGATATTCAGTACCCAGTGTTGCACGAGTCACTTGAAGGATGCAAAAAACTCCATAGTCAGAGAGCCCAGAGAGATTTAATCAGCATAGCGAGTACAAAAGGTTTGACTCCTGGGTTGAACACCTAAGGGGCCATGGATCCCTAAACGGCCATTCTTAAGTGAACACGTTGTGGGTTTGGCCACTTAAGAACGACCTAATTAATGCTAATTATCACTTTTAATCAGCATGTTGAGTACATCAGTGAAACCTTTACAGAATATACTTTATGGCATGCCCAAATTCCGTCTTCCGGTACCTTTAAAATGATTGATACTCCCTTACTATTTGGAGTACTGGGTCAAGATTGGACTTCAAATGTAGATTTTAATGAGAGGAATAACGATCACTTGTTTAATCATCCATTCTTGGGTACCGTTATTACACAAAACAAGAAAAAAAGGTGAAAAACGGGTACCCTTTTTACTCCCACTGGCTTTAAAGCTTTATCAGCATGGTTGAGTACATCCATGAAATCTACACCAAAATGTTCACCAACACACAATAAGAATCAATCATTCTTGTCAAAATTTTGGAGAAATCCACTTAAGAACGACGGACAGGTCAAAGTGTACTCGTTGATCCAACCAAAGGTTTCAATCATCATGCGGAGTACATCAATAAAACTTGCAAGATATGTTCCCCGAGACATCCTGACAGCATCCATGCCTTTCTTAAGTATCTCCATGCTGAATATGACAACTTAAGAACACTTTAAATCGGGCATATTAGTGACCCCCAATTGTAAATTATCATTTGACATGCCTGTGTGGCGGTAATAACCAATAACGAAATGGAAATAAACAAATGTTATTTAATACAAAAAAAAATGAAAACACACTATAATGGTACATAAAACAAAATGTAATAGATTTCATACTGAACTGTGGTACTAACGATGATTATTGACTGTACGCAGATAATCACAACTAAAAACTTGGATGGATTCATGGCAAAATATTAGTACTCCATGTTAATTAATCAGTTATACATATGAAATGTTTTTGCTGCTCACATGGTCTATTTGGGCGGGTCACTACCTTTGACTTCTTAAGTGGCTTTTCCCACAAAACCGACACTTAAGAATTACCAATATGATATCAGGATGCCATAAAGTATATTCTGTAAAGGTTTCACTGATGTACTCAACATGCTGATTAAAAGTGATAATTACCATTAATTAAGTCGTTCTTAAGTGGCCAAACCCACAACGTGTTCACTTAAGAATGGCCGTTTAGGGATCCACGGCCCCTTAGGTGTTCAACCCAGGAGTCAAACCTTTTGTACTCGCTATGCTGATTAAATCTCTCTGGGCTCTCTGACTACCACGATGAGCATCTTACTTTATTCAATACCTCAGTAAGATTCAACCTGCAAGGTTATATATGAAAAAACAGTATGACTAAAACTGACGGCTGATATTTCTCCATGATAGCACTGATTTTGAGATCAGCGCATGATAGCTGTCTGACACGAGAGTGGCTCCTGGTATTGATGTACAGCTTGGAAAGGCTTATACTCTCTAGCTAAAGTTCACCCGCCAAGAAAATATCAGCATATTTCCACATCATGCATACTTCCTAGCTGTGCCCCCTGTAACTGTCTTAGGTAGACCGTGTTCCTAATCCACGGGCGCTGTAGTTATGGTGGAATGCCTGCAGTTGTACCCCTTTTGCAGCCGCTGTCTCTCCTTTGTCTACTCACAGGTCATTACTACATCCCCTGTCGATACTAGGACAGTCACCTTGTCATATCAAGTCTGTCTGGTTCTCACT